TTTATCCAGGAGGAAATATTTCCTCTCCAGGATGTAAATGAAAGATGGAACCATATTCACCCCATCATTAAAGAGCTAGTGTACTGTTCAGGAAAGTTGCAATAGGATACAAGCACCCTTGCCAAAATCACAACTTAGTGCCTTGAATTTGGCTGGAGGTGGATTTCAACTTTGTTTTTATGTCTTCTTCAGACTTAAAAGGCAAAAAGCCTGGCACAACAAAGGGACTGACTCTCTTGCCTGTTATTAAATGAAACACCTCCCCCAGCTCAATCAAAAGTTGTGCAAAATCTTGACTTTGCTTCAGAGGCACTACCCTTGTATGCAGTGCTGTGGTTGTCCTCCTTGCTCTTGTGTAGGAAATTTCACTTTGGGCTACTTAAGGCATAGTGTGAAAGGTCGAAGGGCCTATGAATCTGAGTCCTTTGTATGTACCTTTTTCTGGAGTGAAATTTCTTTTTTGTCAGGGTCTTCTGTGCCTGATACATCTTGCCTTTAAGAATCACCTTTTCAAAAGATTTTGGGGTAGAAAAAGCTGACAAGGTCCCAAGACAAAATTCCATCCAACCTCTTTCAGTCCTCTCAGCATCTAGTGTGACACCAAGGGCTGCACTTTTTGCTTAGAAGCTTTCACTGAAGACCTGTGTTGAACTGAGTCCTGTAGCTAGCACTGCTGTGCTGAGGTGGCTCTTGAATAAAATGACAGATTTCAGTGGATTTCTTCCTGAGTAACGGTTTGGGATACTGATGGGGTACGTATGCCATTTTATGGGTCATTGGGAGGGTAAGGTGAAAGCAAGTTTCAGGCTTCATCAGATCTGCTTGGTGAAAAATCAGGTTAATTAATGTGATGGGAAAATAATACAATCAAAATGCTTCCCTGCTGGCCTTGCTCCATTGAGATACAAGCATAAAACACTCGACTACAGAGGAGAGTAGGCACAGTATTACTGCATCATCCTGCTGCATGGACTCTATGTAATATAGGCAAGCAGTTATCTACTAATCACTTCTGCAAGCTTATTTCTCCTGTGAGTTCATGCTTGGCAGCTATTAATTCCTGAAGTGCACAAACTTCTCCTTAGACATCTCTTCTGTATTGATTTGGTCTTAATCCACAAAGGAGAAGTTTATGCACTTCTTTTGCTCAGTACATTAAAATTTGAAAAGATTTAGGAGAGTGGTTAGGACTAAAGTTATTCAGGGTAACTATTTTTATCACTATCTGCCATGGGGTGTGTATGTGTGGGGGGGCGGGATAGGGAGAAGGTGCCCAAAGTATTTGATGAAAATCTTTTGATTGTCAGATATGAATAATTTTTCTCTTTAAAGCAAGTTAAAACATTCCAAGCCTGAATGAAATGAAACAGTCATGGGGGAAGAAAAGTCTCAGGAACAAAACATATTTATTTGGAAAGCCAAATCTCTTTTCAAAAATGCACTTAAAACTAGGGTCCAATCTGACTCTGAATTCATGTGCAATCCTGCTCAGGCTGGGGTTTCCACCAAGTGCACAAAGAAACTGCAGAGGGGTTGGAGCAGCCAGCCTGGGATGTTTTCAGGTCCTCTCACATGCTGCTGAAGAGATTATTTTGTTCCCTGTTCCAGTCAGGCTTTCTGTGCCTCTGACCTAATTTTTGCCTATGCAGCGTATAAAAATCTCTCAAGTACCACAAACTGCACCCATTCAACAAACAGATGCAGACAGCAGTAGGGCTGAAAGAGCAGCGTGCCAAAGTATTGGCTTGCTGCTGATGTGTCAAATATCACAAAGAGCAAGGCTTTGTCTCTCTTCTGTCATCCTGATTTATTAGACATTAAGAAAGACAAAGCACCCAAACACACAAACATTGCTGTTTTGGGAAGGTTTGCGAAATGGTTAATGCGCTTGTTCTACACAAAAATGTAAAGTGTCAGTTCTCTGATTACCTACTGCTGGAAAGTGTTTGGACAGGTGCTGCGTTTCACCAGCCGTCTGTCACAGCTGACAGCTCGGATTTATGGCTGTACACCAGGGCCTGCCATCCCCCTCCGCCGGCTCCACTCCGGGTGCCAGGCGGCGGCTGCAGGTCGGTCCCTCCCGCCGCTCTGCCCGCTCGGGAGCTGCGTGCGGCTGCCTCTGCCGTGTTCGCGGGGCGGGGTGACAGCAGAGACACCGACGGATTCTTCCTTCCCGTACGTTCACTTGCGTGTGGAAGCGCGGACATGGTCAGAGCAGTATCGCGAATGGGGCGATTTCACTCAAAGGAAGAAATTCGTCCCTTGCCTCCTCTTTGGAGGACGATGCTCAAACAGGAGGAGGCAGAGAAGACCCTACCTTTCAGCAAGCGAAATCCCCCCCCAGCACCGCCGCCGAGCGGGCTCCCGACAGCGGGCGGTACCTGCCCGCCCTCCCATCGCCCCTCCTCGGGGCCCTCTCGAGTCCTCATGTCGACCTTCTGGGGAAATCCAAACAAGTACTAAGAAAGGACTGCGAGGACACAGATATACCTGATACTGTACTCTTGATGTGCGTTTCTCGATATATAAAAAAATCGAGTTTCATAGAAGATAAATATAGAATACTTACTAACAAGGCATATCTCGAACTCTGTGGGCTTTTCTTTTTATTTTTTTTAAATGCTCTTATTTTTTTAATGAAAAATGGACTTTTCTAAAATTAAAAAGTCCAATGTCATCCTATGAAGCATACATTTACACACAAATTCAGCCCTACTCACACTTAAACACATCCGATTAAAATACACACTTGTGGCTGTAATAACAAATTCCACTTTCCGCCAAGGTGCTTTTAGCATACCCTGAAATATGACCTTTACAGATCGACAAAATCAAAAAATATTAGCAGTTGTATACTGACAGGTCATGCGGACTCCTATATAAAAAAAAGATGGTAAAATACAAGCCAGAGGAAAGAGTAGGTTATAGAAGGCTAGACTGATATTTGCAGAGAGCCTTGAAGGCAGAATGATGTCGAAATAGTGCATGTGTATGTGTGCATGCGTGTGTGTACATAAAAACCAATTCCTTCAAGGGTTGGATTACTTCATACATTAGTCACTAATCTCTCGCAATGTTCTGCTGAATGTTATGGTCTGAGCTAAACACACCGTGAAATCTGCTTGAGCTGTATTGAAACAAGTCGGTTTTTCGGCCTCAGATTGTTCTGTTTGAAGCTTTTCTTTCACAACACACCTTCGCTATTCTGAATAATTTTTGCGAATAGAGTAGAAGTCATTCAGCGGCTGAACCTCGGTGCTAAGAGAAGAAGAGGAGGGAGAAAAAGTCCAGGGTCCGAAACTAGTGTAATTAGAAAAAAGAACAATCAGCGCCCAAAATTCTTCTTGTCATCGTTTTAGGTGATCTGTGCTTACAGAAGACTTGAAGGGGAAAAAGCCTGCCGATTTTCATACCTTTTAAAGGTTTAATTAAACCAAAGCAACAAACAAACGAGCCCTGAATTATCATTTCGGCACTTGTATAAACTCTTCGAGTGCGGGGACGCCACTAATTTGTAATTCAGTACCACGGGCAGTTAGAGCCCTCACTTTTCTTTTTCAGACTTAGCCTTTCTGAGGCTTTCCTGATCACTTCTGACAATACGAATCAGCCTTAACATAACGCCTGTCGGGAGACGGCAACGCGTGCAAGCTGCTTATTGCCAGCAAATACTCCATAGTCTTCACCCCACTGAGGTTTCACCCACTTCAGGTGCCTCCACTAGAAGCAGTCGGAGCCCGGTAGTGCCAATGACCTTCCTGAAGCGAGTTTTCTTTGGACTGAAAGATGACAACAGGATTACATGTCGTCTGCTGTCCTTCGTAGGGGGAAAAAAAGAGAAAAAAAAAAGAAAAAAAAAGAAAAAAAAAAAAAGAAAAGGCGGGGAAGAAAAAAGAGGCTGGCAGATGATCAGGATTTCCGCAGGCTGCCCCCAAGTCGGGAAGCCCGCCGCACAAATCTACCTGCCTGCAAATTGCCAGCCTTTCTGGAGGACTGAGCTCTGGCGCGAAAATCTGACCTGACTCGAGGAATTGCAGAGGACTTCTAAACCTGGCGGCAGCTCAAGAGGAGAACCTCTCTCATCTTCCGTGACCGAAATAAGGCGGGTCCGTAGGAGGCATCTCTACCCCCTGGCAGGGATGGGGATGAAAGGGCGGGCAGCCCGGCTGCCCCTGCAGCCAGAGCCAAGCTTCTCGGCCAAGGTTGTCTCACGACAGGCTTCCCTCCCTCCACGCCAGCACAGACATCACGCTCTTCTCCTTACTACTTTATTTAGTGGGCAGCTTTTATTCGGGGGAAAGGGAGAAAGGAAAAAAATGGAAAAAACATGGTGGCCGAGTGTCAATAAAATGCATACGCACATATATTATATACAAACACAGAAATAAAATACGAAAAAAATTATTTTTCTTTTTCCAGTAGCAGTGGTCTTGGCCATAAACGTAGAACGCCAGCCAGTACAGGAGACAACGCCTGACATTTCCTTAAGCCCTTTCCCCTGTCTCGCCCCGCCCACCCCCCCCAATAATTAAAAAAGCTGCACTCTTTTTGTTAAAAACACTACTTTTATAAATAATTTAATGTCCTGCCTTCCCACGAAATGCTAGTTGCTGGACAGGAGAAAAGATTTGCTTTTGGCACAGTGATGCATTGCTTTGCAGTACAGACCTACGGCTCCACAGCAGCCCCGGCCCCCTCCCTTCCTCTCTCCCTGCTCTTCCCGGCAGGCTCCCCCGGCCCCGTTCCTCCACCCCCCCAAGCGCACAGCGCATTCCCTGCGGCCGCCACCACACGCCTCCGCGGGGCACTCCCCGTTGTGCTGCCCAAGGCTTCGGTAGCAGGAGATGTGGGAACAAGACGGGGGGGATAGAAAGGAGGTGGCGAGGGACTGGCTGAAGTCAAGTAGTCTCAACGAACAGTAAGAAGCACTTGAGGCTCATGGCTATGTCCAAACCGACAGTTGTTTGATTTTTTTCTTTTTTTTTTTTTTTTCCTTTTTTTTTTTTTTTTTTTTTTTTTTTTTTTTTTTTTTTTTTTTTTTTTTTTGGTTTAAGTTAAACCCACTGTCTTTTCACTAAGGCACAGTCACCGAGGCTTTTGCTTGGAGGCTTTGGTCGCCTCTGGAGTTAAAGTGCGGGATTCAGAGCCTCCTCCTTCCCCCCTCCACGCCTCCCCGGGCAGGTCCCTCGCAGGGGAGGAGGGAGGCTCCATTAAGCCAGGGGGGTCTCCACGGCGTACGGCTGGAACGAGGCCGAGCCCCCCGCCGCCGGCGGCAGCGGCCCGGCCAGCCGGAGGGGCCCGTACAGCGGGGAGCCGGGCGGCGGCCCCCGCCCGCCCTTGGCGAGGGCGGCGGGGAAGAGCGGCACCCGCGGTCGCTCTGCCGGCGGCGGCTCCCCCGGGGACAGCGCCTGCCGCCCGCCCCCCAGCAGCAGCGGCGACGGCTCCCCCAGCCCGTAGGCGCAGAGCTGCAGGAGGCCGCCGCCGTAGAGGGCGGTGGCGGGCGGGGGCTGCGCGGCAGGCGGGTAGGGAAGCAGCGGGTAGTGGCCGGGCAGCAGGTGCGGGGGCGCGGGCGGCGCCGGCCAGAGGAGGCGGGCGTGCGGTGGCGGCTGCGGGGCGGCGCGGGGTCCTGCCGGCCGCTGGAGTAGGCTCTCGATGGCGAAGGAGCTGGAGAACTTGGCGCTGCCGCCCGGCGCCCTCGCCCCGCCGCCCCCCACCGCTGCCTCCTTGGCACCCGGCGCGCAGTTGCAGGGCGAGGAGGCGCAGCAGCACCGCGGGGAACCGCCGGGGGACGCGGCTCCCGCTCTCGCCGCCTCCTGCGGCGCTTGCGGCGAGGAGGCGGCGGCGGAGCGGGCAGGCTGCGGCGGCGGGGCGGCGCGGCTGAGGCGCTTGCGGCGGCGGCGGAAGACGCCGTCGGCGAAGGTGTACTCGCTGCTGGGGTTGAGCATCCAGTAGTTGTCCTTGCCCCAGGGCCGCGCCGGGTCGCGCAGCACCTTGACGAAGCAGTCATTGAGGGAGAGGTTGTGGCGCACCGAGTTGCGCCAGCCGGTGTAGGCGCCGCGGAAGAAGGGGAAGCGGCTCATCAGGTAGTCGTTTATCTCGGCCAGGGTCAGGCGGCCGCCGGCCGAGTCGCGGATGGCCATAGCAATCAGCGCGATGTAGGAGTAGGGAGGCTTCGGCCGCCGCGTGTAGGGTTTCCCCTTGGCGCTCTCGGCCGGCGGTGGCGGCGGCTGCGGGGTCCGCGGCGGCGGCGGGGGGTGCCCCGATCGCCCGGCCCCGCCGCCCGGGCTGTTGGCCGCGCAGTCACCGTCGGAGCCCAGCTCGCTGTCAGCCGGAGCCGGGGAGAGCGAGCCGCTGCCTTCCTGGTCGCTGCCGGCGCTCAGCTTGTCCTCATAGTGCTGCGAGAACACCTCCAGCTTCATGGCGGCGGCGCCGGCGGCCCCCCCGCACCCCGCGGCTCCGCTGGGTGGGCGCGACCCCCGCCCCTCGGCGCGGCCTCACGGGAGGCGGCGAGCTGACCCAGGGGCTTTCTGCCCCCGCGCCGGCTTGGACAGCTCCGCGGCGGCTGGCAAGGCGGGCAGGGCACGGCAGGGCAGCGGAGCTCTGCGCCCGCCTCAGCCAGCCGGCCCGGGGTCGCTGGCAGGGGGCTGCCCCTTTCCGGCCGGCGGGCGCCCGAGGACGGGCGGTGGTGCCCTGCCGCCCGATTCCTCCGGCTTCCACCTCCTTCTCCTCTACTGGGGCGCTCGCTCTCTTTTCGCCCCCCTTTTTGTCCTTCTTGCTCTTTACTCTCGCTGCTCCATGGGGCTGAAGGAGAGGGGCGAGGTGGTCCCACTGGAGCCGGTGCGAGACGACGGGCGGGCGGCTGCTGGAGCCGGCTCTTCTCCGCGTCCGCCCGAGCCCGGTTCTTCTCGGGGGCGCTGCCGCTGTTACCGTTCGGCGCTCCCCCGGCGCGGGGAGAAGCTCTCTCGGGCCGTCGGCGTTACTCCGCTCTCTCCGGCTTCGACTCCTGTCAGTGCCGGGACGCCGGGCTGGCTCCTCGCTGCGACGCGGGCAGCAGCCGGGTTATTAGGGTTATTAGTGTTATTGTCATTATCTCTCCATTCCCCTGTGGTTCTGTGTCTCTCCACCACTTTCAGACCAGCGCATTATAACGCCGGCGAGAGGCGGAGCCAGGACAAAGATCTGAAAGGGTGGTGGGTGGAGAAGCAAGGTAGCAAAGGTGGGTATGCCCTAATAAGCCGTATCAGAGCCGTAATTAGCCAAGATGACAGCGCGGTCTTGTTGGAAAGTTATTTTACGCAACTTGTTTGTATTTTCTCCTGCCAGGTCCCTCCCCTTCCCGGGTATTTCGAACGAAGCCGCAGTTCCGCGCGACTTCGCAGAGCCGGCCCGCCTCCCAGGTGTAAAATGCAAAATGACTTATAGGTGGCAGAGCTGAACCTGTTACGTGCAGTGATTTATTTTAATAGCGCCGTATAAAGCAACAAGTTGTAATATGACAGCTCAACAACCTGTTGGAAAATAATACATGGCTTCGCAATTGTGAATTCCTAATGATTTATGTAGTCTGACAAAATAGTTTCAGTCCTGGTCCCTCTTTCTTTCTGTCATAAGCACACCTGGTGCAGAGGTAGAATGGGAACAGGTAGGCAATGCTTTGGGATTTTCCTACAAGGGATTTAGTCAAAACCTTAACCTTAGTTTTAGGTGTGTTATTCTGCATATAGTAGTGTTGCTTGATCTCTTCTGGATGTTTGTAACCTCTCTCTTACAACTGTCACTCTCCAGTAAAATATTTTGTGTGTGTGTGTGTGTGGTTTTTTGTTTTTGTTTTTGTTGGTTTGTTAGTTTTCTTTTTAAAAAAATAATAACTTTAACATTTTTTTTAAACACTGGTGGATCTATAAATTTTCCGTAAAACCTGAGAGAAAAAGTGTTCTGTAATTTGACCCAGACACTTTTGTTTCTAGAAAAATTAGTTATTGGGTTTGGGTTTGTTTTTAGGTTTAAGTTGTCAGGGTCTTGCCCTCAACATTATGCTAGAGAAAACAACTCAATGAAGAGAGCTATATGGCAGTAGCTTCTCTGAAAACTCCCTGTTCTGCCCACTGTTCAAAGTCAATTGCAAAATGCCGTTTGACTTCATAGGGCAGTAGCGCTAGCATCTGCAAAACAGTAACAAAAACATCAGCAGAAATCTACTGTGGTGCTTATGTTTTATTTCTCGTATGTACACTTTGAATTTTGTGTCCTGGAGTAAGAGTTGGATTGCTCCATATTTTCCAAAAGCAGTCTTTCCAAATCCAACCTTAATTTAGCCTAAATACATAATGCAGAGTCACTCTGGTTAGGACAATGCTGTTGTGGTCTGGCTTTCACGGAGCGTTGGAGTTGAAGATGAAAAAAAGGCAGATTTAGAAGACTAAGAGGAGAAACAAACTGTGCTACTTTCTATCTCAATCTCTCTTGAATGGAATATACGTTTCCACACACACCTGCATTTTGTTTCAAAGTGTTGCCATTTTTTCAGTCTGCATGAGTCTTATATGGTAAATATTGAACAGTGACAGGTTCTTCTGTCCTTCTGGTTGCACTTTTGAGAACTTTATTAATAACAGTACATTTGATGTCTTGCCGTTCTCACTAAAGCTCTACCAGTTCAGGAAAACAGGCAATTCAGTGATTTGAAAGACAAAAATAAGAGGAGGGAGACCTCTCTTGGTTCCTTGTTGTTGTTGTTGTCTCCATGTAATGTAAACCAAAATCTTTCAGTAAAGTGTTGCCTTAGCTGTAGGTGCCAATGTTTGTGTTTAAGGGTATGGGAAAAAGGTATCATTCCTTCCAAAACTCATATTTTCTAAGATGATGCCAATGGCAAGGGTAGGTTTTTTTCCTCTTCCTGCTTTTGTTGTAAATAGCACTGAAGTAGTGATGATTTGCTAGCTTGCCTTTGATGTTTATTTTATTACCGTTCCACTATTTGTGTGGAAAATGTACACATTGTCTCTTATCTTTATTCAAAGAACTTAAAAAGTCATTCAAATGCTGTAGGTAAACACGTCAGACATAACAGAAGCTTTTTCACAGCCGTACTTCAAGACTAGGAGTGGATGGCAAAGCTGGTTTTGCAAGATTTAAGAAGGGACAGAAGCTTGTACTCAAAATAATACTAAGATAGCTATTAATGGCTGGGAGGAGGGAACCTTTCTAAGATCAGCATTGCTTCTTGTTGCGGCTCAAGGCCTCTTTGGTATCTCCGAGCCAGTGCATGCTGTAAACTGAACCTTGAAATCTGTGGTGGCTCTTAGCTGAGAAAACATACAAAAGTGCTTGCGAAAGGGCCATGCATGGTTTAGTAGAGCCTTCTTGGCCCGAGCGAGAGCAATGTCAAGCTCATTGCTGTTGCTGCCCATGAAACAACCAGCAAAGTTTTAAGAAGTGGTGAAGTAGTCCAACTACTCCTGTCTCTCACCACTGAGAGTATATGTAACCTCAAGCCTTTTCCTGCTATAGTTTTTTAAAAGGCACAGTATCGCCTTCAGGTTTATAAAGATTAACACAATCATCGGAAAAACTGATTCTGTTAAGTAAACTTCACATCAAAAGCACTTTGATGTGCTGTATTATAGCAAAGCCAAACACCCCACCCCCATCACCCCAAGAAAAAACCTCCAAAAACCTCCAGTGAAGCAATGTAAAAAAAAAAAAAAATCTAATTCTTTGTTCTAAAATGAAATGTCTCTTCCTCTTTAGATCAGCAGAGCAGGACTTTTTGATGTATGACCCCCTCTTTTCCTACCCAAAACAGTACTGACTCAAAGACAAATGAAAAAATGCAAATAGTTGCTTGAAAATCACGTGCTCAGCTTTGCGTCCCGTTTTCTATAGTATTTGACTAATTTATTTCAGAAATAGTAAGAGTGTTCCAATGGGTATTTGGAGATAAGGTAGTGTAGTCCTTTGCGGTTTGTTCGAACTACAAATTATAAAAATGTTTGTTACTAAATGTAGCAAGATGCTACACTCTCTGATGGTTGTGGATATATTTTTGGTTGACCCAGTTATGTTTTCTCCGTGGTATTTTAAACCATGGAGACATGGGTTTTTCAGTTCAGCAAACATCATGCAAAGGTGTGTCATAATATGGTCTTACTTTAAAATATTTTAAAAATTATTTCTTTTAATTCTTTTCACACAGTCCTTTCTTACCATCTTTTCTGCCTTCTGTCTCTCCTGACCACTGACTAGATTAGAGAGATTTTCCAAGTAAGATCCTATGGGCACAACTGGTAAATAAGGTCGCACTGGTGACTGGGAAAGTCCTATAGTTAGTGGTAAGCGTGCGTATTTGTGCATCTGAGATGTCCGGCACACCAGCTGGACAAAGTGCTTCATCATCTCTTCTCCTCATCCTGTGGCAAAGCTGCAGGAGGGCACTGCCTTGCCAGGAATGATGAAATTGGACAATGCAATACTCTACATGAGCAACAATAGACCAGTTCAAAGAGTTCGCTTTGGATGGGCTGCTCACAGCAGGAGATGTGCCTAGCATGCATAAATGAACTACAGAGTCTGTGAAGGTTGGCTAATTGCACTATGTATATTTTTATAGTTGAAGGAAATCCAGCTGGAGACTGAGCTGTAAGAAGGGAGGTTAGTGGAAATTCCTTTAGACCTTGTGAGAAAAAGTTTGATCACTGAAGCAGAATGTATGTCTGTGTGAATTCCCTCATTGGGAAAGACTGGCACTTTTTCACAAGGACAGCCATTCCCTGTGGGTAGAGATTTTCTCATGTCTTTGGCAGGTACTAAGAGCTGAATTTACAATGGGGAGTTCCATTTCAACTTTTTTTCATGCAATCTTTATTTTCTTGGGAGCCGTTGCTCAGAATAAAATTTTCCCATGCTGAGAGCTTAGTATCACTTCCTCCCTATGCACACTTCATGTTCCATAAAAAAGTGCATCTAAGCAAATTTTTTTTAACCAGAGTCCTGGATTGTGACAGAATGGGCGGGGGAGGACTTTCTCCTGTGAAGACAGTGACAGTATTGCTCTTGTTACTAATGCTTAGTGCTGGAGAAATAGTTCCAGGTTCCTACACCATCATTTTCACCCAGAGATCTCAGAGCTCTCCCATCTTACAGGCAATGAGGAGTGAAGGGGAGTCCTGTTGAAAATAATTTGCTAAGTTGGTTGCTACCCCGTCTGTAGAACTGAGCTCTTTGGAGCCCTTGTCCTGCACTATGTCCACTGAGATATCCATCACAAGGCATCATCAGAAAGCATTGTACCATTTGGCAAGGAGCTGTCAAAATGGAGATTGTTCTGTCCTGAGACTCAGATAATTTATAGCTAATTCTCTCTTTTTACTAGTGCTATGTTAAGTCTCAGGATCTTGAATGGAGTTCCACACCAGCATAA